AAAAAAAAAAAAAAAAAAAAATATGGAACAAACAGGACTACGAGAACTGCAAATATTTCCCAGGCCTTTCATTCCATTATCTATTTCATTCAACAAAACTACTAATAAAAAAGAAAACAAAAATAAATAAAAGGGAAATCGAAATCTTCATTAAGTTCCTGATTAGCTTCTTTTGCCCAAAGCAAGCATTAACAACCCCAATTAACCGATAAATTAGCTGTAAATATCAACAAAATCAATTAACCCAAACACCTCAACACCCATAGTCAAGCAATAAAGAACTCCATCGGAAATCATTAAAGATCGATAGAAGATAATTACCTGGAACTCAGATTGTGAAATGGATCCATAGATGCTTTTCTTATGCTCAAATATCACAACTCCGGTCAAAATGCTACAAAAAAAACTATTTTGAATGAAGTACGGTACAAGGAGAGAGAGAGAGAGAGAGAGAGAGAGAGAACTCACAAATGACCTGGCAATATTTTTCTTTTTAAATGATATTCTCAGATCAGCGTTATGTTTGATTACTACATATAAACAGGTTTGAGGAGTAACAATAGATTCATAGGTCTCTTATGTTTATGTCACTAAGAATTGTGGAAGAAATTACTTTCCCAACATGAAATGACATTTCTTACCAAGCTATAGAAGATGTGAGCAAAGAGGATGAAGAGTGCAAATCGGACAAATGCATACACAATCGAATGTATCTCCTCTTAGCTACAAATAAAAAATAAAAAAATAAAAAAAAAATAGTTGGTTTAGCCATTACTTGCGATTATGTTACCAACACTTGTCAAAGCTTGTCACAAACGAACATTTACCAAGTACGATCATTACAAAGTACCTACAAACATGACAAAAGAATGAAAAAAAAAAGGAAAAGGGAAACAGAGTGTATACCAAATTTTTACTTAGAGTGTTATCTAGATCATATATTAAAACATCACCCGTAGACCTGAAGCCCAAAAGGAACGAATGAGAACGATTGAAAATATTACCTGAATACCCTCCACCTCCATTCGACCACAGCACGGCATAATTTTGTTCATAATCCAAGGTCCTTCAAATCTGTTTTCAGATCAAGGTTTTTAAAGCAATTTCTGTTTCACACTGTACTCCAACCCATCGACTTTCTCACCTCTCGATCCTTCATCACCTTCCGAACTTGTTCAACTTCTTCCCACATCTCCATACAACTGTAGAAGTCAGAGATAAATACACGGTACCCATCATTTCCTGGGTCGGCTTCAATCGCACGCTTTGCTATCTTCACACACATCTCAGCATTGTTGTGCATTTTACAAGAATTTAACAAAGAGCCCCAAATTCCACCATCGGGATGTGAAGGCATCGACAAAATGAGAGACTCGGCCTCATCACGTTCCAAGACACGGCGTCTTTTTCGGCCATCGAATCAAAAATTTCTCTCGCCATGTCGATTTCGCCGCATTTCGCGTACATGTCGACTATAGCTGTAGCCAGCAAAACTTCGTGAGTGAATAATAATCCCGTTTGTTTGATGTATTCGCGTATTTTTCTCCCATTCTCAACAGATGCAAACCGAGCATACGTGGATAACAAGGTTACGATTGTCACTACATTAGGCTTTGATCCTTGTGAAATCATTTTGTCGAAAAAAGTGATAGCTTCGAAAAATTTCCCGTTCCCGGCGTAAGCTGAGATAAGGGAGTTCCATGCAGAAATGTCTTTTGGATCGATTTGATCAAAGAGCTTTTGTGCCTTATTCAAATTCGCACATCGACCGTACATGTTGATGAGTGAATTTACAACCGAGACGTTCTCAAACGAACGCTGCTGCTTTACGATACGACAATGCAGAGATTGACCGAAATGAATTACTCCCAATCTCGAACAGGACAAAATAACCGACATTAAGCTGCTCGAATTGGATTCTATTCCTCGGAACTGCATTTATTTGAACAAATTTATGCAGTCAACCTCTAATTTGGCTTTCTGATAGCCAACTACCATGATATTCCAAGATTCTTCTCGATCATCCCCACCAGCAAAAAGGATCTTCCCCGCAATATTCACGAGGCCAAACTTACAATACATAGAAATCAGCAAACTATTAACATTCTGATTAAAACCGTATTTTCTCCTCAAGATATACCTGTGAAGCGCTTTCCCTTCACCGACATTCATCGAATTGGCGAAACGAGAGATCAGACATCCAATTACCATCCCGTCCGGGTGGACCCCATCAGCCTGCATTTCCGTAAACATTTCGAAACATTCACAAAACCTCCCGAGCCTTGCATAGTTAACGATAATCGAGGTCCACGAGTAAAGATCCTTCTCCACGACCTCATCGAACGAAACTTTCGCATCCTCAGCACTTCCACAATTTGAGTACATCGACAAGATATGAGGTTGAACTATGTGGGAGGAAACGAATCCCGATTTAAGTGCAAGGCCGTGCAAACACCTGTCAGCTGTCAAGTCACTTGATTCGGCACAAGCTCGAAAACCCCCTTTTAATGTCCGGGAATTCAGCCTCTCGGTGTCATCCCCATCGACCTATGCATCTCTTTCAGACACAGCAAGCCCTTCTCGCTCTCGCCGTTCTGAACGTAACCAATCACAAGCGCAGTCCAAGCAACCACGTCCTTCAGGGGAATTTCGTCAAATATGTGCGAGGCGTTCTCCACTCCACAGACCCACATTTCGAATACATGTACACGAACGAGGCTTCAACGGCTGAGTTCCCAACAAAAAGGTTCGATTTAGAGACCAACCCATGAACGGCCATGCCGTGTCCAGGGACCCGAGCTCGGCGCAGGCCGAGACAACCATGGGGAAGGTAAACTGATCGGGCAAATTCCCGGCGCGCTTCATCCTGGAGAAAAGCTCGACAGTCCCAGCATAGCCCCCGTTGGAAAAATGGGCTTTGATGATGGAGTTCCAGAGGAAAGCATCCCTGACATGGAGTCACTCGAAGACCTTGGTGGAGCAATAAGCGCCGCCGACGGAGGCGTAAGAGGCTATGAATTTGTTGCGCGCGTTGCCGGTGGAGATGATGAATGCGTGTGTGGGGAGAAGGATTTTTTAATCCAGAAAATTTCCGGAGAGGATGAGTCAATACGTCGGTTGAGGTAGCTGGATTTTGAATCGGCTTGCGAACAATACAAGTATAAGCGTTTGTGGAGGAGCTTTGGGAATTTGAAAACTGGCATGGACTTTTGCTTGCCAGTGGTTCGTTGCAGGTGAGATGTGAAGACTCCGCGAGGATGATGATAGGGATGATGGGAAAAATGTGTTCCCTCCAGTGTTTTAAAACGCGTATAGCGTAATGCGTCGCGTTTTGGTCTTTATACTGCGTAGCGTAAATAGCGTTGCGTGTTGCGTAAGCTATTTGAGTATTTTTTTTTATAGAGATATTACGAATATATTTACATATAATAAAATTGGATGGTTGATCACAAAAATTATTATAGTATTTGAATGACTTAAAAATAACATCTAAGTATTATTTTTCACAAATATTTAATGTAAATATTATCATAATATAAATATTTAAATTATAAGTCGAATATACTAAAAAATAAAAACAAACAACGAAAATATAACGAGGTAAGTCATAGTATAATTAAGTATATACATTTTAATTATTATTGTTTTATTTAACTACAACTTAATTCTAACCAAATAAGAATTTTTCATTCTCTATTTAAATGTCAAATATCAAAAAATAAAACGATATAACAAAAATGTACCGATAAATATTGCACTATTCAATTTAGGGCTTTGCATTTTCAAACTTTTAATTTGAAATCATTATCCAAATTTTTAGGTTTTAGTTGTCATTTGTAAATATGACTGAAGAAATAGAGTTTTTGAATATTTTATTGTTCAAATGTCGTTGTAGAAATATAGCGCAATGTACGCAGAATAGCGTGAAATAGCGTAAGAAAGCGTGTCATTTCAACATTTCGCGTAATCTATTTGAGAAAAACGCTAAATATATAAGGCTATGTCGCGTTTTTCCGAAAAAAAGACTACATAGCGAGCAATAGCGAGCTACATAGCGAGCTATTTAAAACAGTGGTTCCGTCCCACAAGTCATTTGACCCGTCCATTTGTAGTTATCTTACTCTACTATAGTTTATAGTAAAGTAAAAAAAATGTATGTACAACATAAATGTAATTTAATTAGATATATTATTTTACACATATTTAATTTTTGATATCACAAATGTAATCTCATTAAATATATTATATTATATTATTTAATTATTTAACTTATTATGATTACATAATTAATAAAAAATAAATAGTATAACAATATAGAGATTATATTATTTACTAAAACATGTATCAAGTATGTACTAGAATATTAGGGATTACTAAAATATTAAGTAAGATTTTAAGAGAATTTCCAATTTATAATTTAGGTCATTGAAAATAATCTTTTGTGTTAATTCTTGTCGTCCAATGATTTACCACATATCATTTCTTTTATAAATAAATTTGTTAAATGAATATGAGTATTATGTTGAAAAATTATATCAATTTTTTATTCATGTTGTAATATTTTAATATTTAAAAAGTATTAAAATAATATTATAATAGTTCAATTAACAAAAAGTTATTTGTTATAATACATACATTTATTAATACACATTATAACAAAATCTCGTCTCCATGGACACTGTTTAGCTCATATTAGGCTGCTCCACCGGATCCTGTGGTTCGTCCTAGTTCACATGCTCTACTGGTCGTCTTATCTTTTGGATTATTAATTGTATTATAAGCTATTAGTCTTATCTTCTGGATTATTAATTGTATTGTCTTATCTTCTTCTGGATTATTAATTGTATTTAGTTTACAACGTAATTTTTTCAATTATTATCTCTCTAGTTGGTATTGTATTTAGTTTACTGGATTATTAATTGTATTTAGTTTACGACGTAATTGTAATTATTCAACATTATATCTCTTGTCTTATCTTTTAAATTTTTTTTTTTTTTTTGTACAAAGAAGGAGGCAAAAGCCTAAGACCGTTAGATAGTTATACGCCGCGGTAAGCAATCCCAATAAGGTCATGTTGTAACCACGATTTAACTGCCGACGGTGGATCTGGGAGCCGTTGATAACTGCTCGGACACTGGTGAGCTAGAGTCGCCAAACAGTCAGCTGCAAAGTTGGCTTCCCTATAACAATGAAGCACACTAACCACCCACTCTCGACCAAGAAGCTCCCTTATTGCCTTAACCAGGCTGCCATGAATACCGAGATTGTCCATCGAAGTCCCCATCGCCATAGTCACCACACTCATACTATCAACGTCCACCTGGACCTTGCGATACCCCAACTCCCAAGCCAACGACAGACCGTGAAAGAGTCCCCATAATTCTGCTCCGGTGATGGAACAATACCCAATATTCATCAAAAACCCCCCAAGCCACCTGCCCTCGGCATCACGAGCTAAACCCCCAGCAAACGCCATCCCACTCAAAGTCAAAAGAGAGTCGTCCGTATTGATCTTAATAGTTCCAGACTCATGAGCAATCCATCTAATGAGATGGACTCCCCGGCCCGCACCTAAACCGCCGAGATGGTGTTCCACGGATTTGGTGAGCCGGATCCCATGAACAAAGGAGCGAACATCCCGAATTTTATTAGCAACGATGAACTCCTTGTCGGAGAAATTTTTTTCATTTCTACCTCTCCAAATTTGCCACACCGTGACACCAAAAATCGTCTCCCACGCCTCGACACCAATAGATAGTCCGTTTTGGTTATTAATTGTATTGTAAGCTATTAGTCTTATCTTCTGGATAATTAATTGTATTGTCTTATCTTCTTCTGGATTATTAATTTTATTTAGTTTACGACGTAATTTTTTCAACTATTATCTCTCTAGTTGGTATTGTATTTCGTTTACTGGATTATTAATTGTATTTAGTTTACGACGTAATTGTAAATATTCAACTATTATCTCTCTTGTTGGTATTGTATTTAGTTTACGACTACGTAATTTTTTCCTATTAAGTATGTATTTAAGTTTACGACTATGTAATTTTTTCAACTATCATCTTAAGTCGGCTTGTTAAAGCTTGAATTCGGCTCAAATCTTACTCGTTAATTTTGATAAATGATTTGATATCGACATCGTTCATTGACTCGATTTGTTAACGACCCGTTACTTTTGATACGAGTTGACATCGACCTCATTAATTTTGTGTAGCATAGTTCTATATAACTATATCTAAACCTCAGTCCAAAGGCCTACAGCTACAAGCTAAAACTCACTTTTGTTTTTCAGTTTTCACAGAACCACAAGACAAATCCATAAAGACAAACATGCTGTGAAAAAACACCAGCAACCAGCAACCAGCAACCTCTCTTCGGTGCAGCCAATACGAAAACTCCTCCATCTTTTCTGCTCTGCAAAATTTTAAACTGACGACTTGCTTCCAATCACCTTCCAAATAAGTTTCCGGATTTTCCACATCACGTCACACTAAGATGAGGGCTGCAGACATTATCTGATTACCTTATCTTGGTTTCTGAGAGTCGAAGGATGGATAGAACACAGCTTGCAAATGAACCTGCCAATATTTTTTTTTACATGAAACTCTCTGATCAACGTTATGTTCGATTACTACATATAAACAGGTTTAAAGAGTAATAATATATTCATAAGTCTCTTATGTTTAGGTCACTCAGAATTGTGGAAGAAAATACTTTCCTAACATGAAAAGACATTTCTTACCAAGCTATAGAAGATGTGAGCAAAGAGGATGAAGAGTGCAAATCGGACAAATGCATACACATTACACCCGAACGTAGCTCCTCTTAACTACAAATAGAAAAGAATAGTCGGTTTAGCTATGACTTGCGATTATGTTACCAACACTTGTCAAAGTTGTCACAAACCAACATTTACCAACGATCATTACAAAGGGAAACAGCGTGTATACTAAATTAAACTTAGAAGGTTATTTGGATCATATATTAAATCACCACTCATAGACTTGAAGCCCGAAAGGAACGAATGAGAAGGATTGAAAATATTACCTGAATACCTCCATCTCCATTCAACCACAGCACGACACAATTTGTTCATAATCCGAAAAGTCCTTCAAAAACGGTTTCCAGATCAAAGTTTTAAGGCAATTTCTGTTCACACTGTACTCCAACCCATCGTCTTTCTCACCCCTCGATCCTTCATTACCTTCCGAACTTGTACAACTTCTTCCCACATCTCCATACAACTGTAGAAGTCGAAGGATGGATTGAACACAGCTTGCAAATGAACCTGCCAATATTTTTTTTAAAAAAAACAAAATGAAACACTCTGATCAGTGTTATGTTCGATTACTACATATAAACAGGTTCAGAGAGTAATAATATATTCATAAGTCTCTTATGTTTAGGTCACTCAGAATTGTGGAAGAAAATACTTTCCTAACATGAAAAGACATTTCTTACCATGCCATAGATGTGAGCAAAGAGGATGAAGAGTGCAAATCGGACAAGTGCATACAAATTACACCCGAGTGTATCTCCTCTTAACTACAAATAGAAAAGAATAGTCGGTTTAGCTATAACTTGCAATTCGAAGGCTATTTGGATCATATATTAAATCACCACTCATAGACTTGAAGCTCGAAAGGAACGAATGAAAAAAATTGAAAATATTACCTGAATACCCTCCATTTCCATTCAACCACAGCACGACACAATTTGTTCATAATCCGAGAAGTCCTTAAAAAACTGTTTCCAGATCAAAGTTTTAAGGCAATTTCTGTTCACACTGTACTCCAACCCATCGTCTTTCTCACCCCTCGATCCTTCATTACCTTCCGAACTTGTTCAACTTCTTCCCACATCTCCATACAACTGTAGAAGTCAGAGATCAGCACATGGTACCCATCATTTTCTGGGTCGGCTTCAATCGCACGCTTTGCTATCTTCACACCCATCTCAGCATTGTCGTGCATTTTACAAGAACTTAACAAAGAGCCCCAAATCCCACCATCGGGAGGTAAAGGCATCGACAAAATGAGAGACTCGGCCAAATCAAGGCATCCCGCTCGTCCATAAAGATCAACCATACAAGCATAGTGCTTAAGCGTGGGCCCAATAGAATAATTTTTCACCATTCTATCAAACAGAGACTTACCTTCCTCGACCAAACCAGAATGAGCGCAAGCCGAGAGAACCGCGAGGAACGTGAGCCCGTTTGGGCGCTCGGCTCCATTTTCTTCTTCCATCTGCCGGAAAATCTCGATTGCTGACCTGGCGTGCCCGTGGGCCCCATAGCCCGAGATCATTACATTCCAAGTCACGACGTCTTTTTCGGTCATCGAGTCGAAAATTTCTCTCGCCGTGTCGATTTCTCCGCATTTCGCGTACATGTCGACTAGAGCTGTAGCAAGCGAGACTTCGTGAGTGAATAATAATCCCGTTTGTTTGATGTATTCGTGTATTTTTCTCCCGTTCTCGATAGATGCAAACCGAGCACACGCGGATAACAAGGTTACGAATGTCACTACATTAGGCTTTAATCCTTGTGAAATCATTTTGTCGAAAAAAGAGATTGCCTCGAAAAATTTCCCGTTCTCGGCGTAAGCCGAAATAAGGGAGTTCCATGCAGAAATGTCTTTTGGATCGATTTGATCGAAGAGCTTTCGTGCCGTATTCAAATTTGCACATCGACCGTACATGTTGATGAGCGAATTTACAATCGAGACGTTCTCAAACGAACACTGTTGCTTTATGATATGACAATGCACAGATTGACCAAAACGAATTGCTCCCAATCTCGAACAAGAAAAAATCACGGACATTAAGCTGCTCGAATCGGATTCTATTCCTCGAAACTGCATTTCTTTGAACAAATTTATACAGTCAACCTCTAAACCGGCTTTCTGATAGCCAACTACCATGATATTCCAAGATTCGTTCTCTTGATCACGCCCACCAGCAAAAAAGATCTTCCCCGCAACATTCACGAGGCCAAACTTACAATACATTGAAATCAGCGAACTATTAACCATCTGATTAAAACAGTAATTTCTCCTCAAGATATACCCGTGGAGCGCTTTTCCTACACCGACATTCATCGAATTAGCAAAACCAGAGATCAGACATCCAATTACCATCCCGTCCGGGTCGACCCCATCAGCCTGCATTTTCGTGAACATTTCGAAACATTCACAAAACCGGCCGAGCCTTGCATAGTTCACAATAATCGAGGTCCACGAGTAAAGATCCTTCTCCACGACCTCATCGAACGAAACTTTCACATCCTCAGCACTTTCACAATTTGAGTACATCGACAAGATATGAGATTGAATGATGTGGGAGGACAAGATACCCGATTTAAGCGCCAATCCGTGCAAACACCTGCCAGCTGTCAAGTCACTAGATTCGTCACAAGCTCGAAAACCCCCTTCCAAAGTCCGGGAATTCAGCCTCTCGGCAGCATCTCCACCGACCCTATGCATCTCTTTCAGACACAGCAAGCCCTTCTCACTCTCGCCGTTCTGAACATAACCAATCACAAGCGCAGTCCAAGCAACCACATCCTTCAGGACCATTTCGTCGAACACGTGCGAGGCGTTCTCCAAGGACCCACATTTCGAATACATGTACACAAACGAGGCCCCAACGGCCGAGTTCCCAACAAATAGGTTCGATTTCGAGACCAACCCATGAACGGCCATGCCGGTGCCCAGGGACCCGAGCTCGGCGCAGGCCGAGACAATCATGGGGAAGGTAAACTGATCGGGCGAATTCCCGGCGCGCTTCATCCTGGAGAAAAGCTCGACAGCCCCAGCATAGCCCCCGTTGGAAAAATGGGCTTTTATGATGGAGTTCCAGAGGAAGGCGTCTCTGAAATCGAGGCAGTGGAAGACCTTGGTGGAGCAATAGGGGCTGCCGACGGAGGCGTAAGAGGCTATGAGCTTCGAGGCTATGAATTTGTTTCGCGCGTTGCCGGTGGAGATGATGAATGCGTGGGTGGGGAGAAGGGTTTTCGAATCCAGAAATTTTCCGAAGAGGAATGAGTCTATACGTCGGTTGAGGTAGCTGGATTTTGAATCGGCTTGCGAACAATACGAGTATAAGCGTTTGTGGAGGAGCTTTGGGAATTTGAAAACTGGCATGGGCTTT